TTTTGAAGTAATGTTATTAACCAGAATTTGATGGAAAGGATTCTTTTCTTTCTTTCTTTTTTTTTTTTTTTGATGCTGGTGCTGGAACCCAGGGCTTGCACAGGCAGGGCAGCCCCTATCCCTGAGCTACGGCCCAGCCCCATGGGTGGGATTTCCTGAGTTGGCCGACCGCATCCTTGTGCTTAGAGCCGTTTCTCTGTGTCCTGTGTGTGTGGTCACAGCAGAGACTTCATCAGTGGGGCTTCGCCCTCTGGGGCACATCCCGTGAGCTCACCTCTTCCAGCGATGCTAAGGTTGGCTGTTGGGTTCAGGTGTTCCCAGCCCAACCCACCCATTACACTGCAGCTCAGAGATGACCCCAGAGGGGTCAGCGCCCCAGGAGGGTCCCGCCCCGCCCGGGCTGTGGGGACTTCTAAGGGGTGGCCCCGTGATGATGCCCCAGGGGGACCCCCCTTAAGAGCCACCCCATTGCTCCATTAGAAGTTTATGTTCCTTTAGCCTAATGCACTTGGGATCCCCTGGAAGCTGCAGGAGTGCTGGCTCTGGCCCCACAGCCAGCGTTGCCGTTTAAATGATTCTGATGTGCAAATCTGGCAAACCACCCAAGGCCCCAGTCCTCCAGGTCCCACCATCCCCTCTCTCCCTGCACTTGGCCATTTCCCCGAGAGGGGTCAACAGGTGGACAGCAGTGACAGAATTGATCATCTGACCCTCCAGACCTGCCCCCAGCCTAGGGCGTGACACAGAATGAGGACCCTGGAGGCTTGATGATTGGATCCACCCTGTGCGAACCTGCTTGCGCATTTAGGGTTTGGAATGCTCTGATCTGTGGTTCAGGATGTCGGTTTCTGTTTTGTCTGGTTTCACAGGCTGGGGTTGGACTCAGGGCTTGGTGCATGCGAGGCCAGCCCTCCACCACATCCCAGCCCTTTTTATTTTAGGACAGGGTCTCACTAAGTTTCACAGGCTGGCTTTGAACTTGTGACCCTCCTGCCCCAACCTCCCAAGTAAAGGGATTGCAGACGTGGGCCACCACGCCCAGCTAGGAAACCAATTCTAGAACTTTCTCTTTCATTGGCAAGGCTTTCAAAGTCAGGGCTCTTGGGGACGTAACAGGGTGGTTACATGTGGTGGAGTGACCAACTCGTCTCTGTCGTCCTGCAATGTCCTGTGCTCCAGGAACCCTCCACAACCCCAGGTGACAGGGACAGGGTCGGCCTCCTTGTTCACTTTGAAGGAAGGAGGGAGACTAGCCCTGTGGACTGGGACCCTCGTTTCTAGCTCCCTGGTTTTACTGTGTCACTTTAGACCTGTTACTGGCCTCTGGGTGGCCAAAATAAAGACACTCTGTGCCCAGGATTTATGGTTGACACCAGAGCCTGGCCCCAGGTTGGCAGAGACCACTGTGGATGAAGCCCTCACCCAGGAGAGGCAGCCGAGACGGGCGTCCGTTCTGCTGGGGAGACAGGAAGGCTCCGTGAGAAGCTGGGGGAGGCAGAGGCCTGGGCGCCCAGCAGGACAGCCTTGACTCCCAAGGGCGGGCAACCCGAGCCAGCCACCTTGCCCACGTCTGAGTAGTCAGAGCCCCTTTCTGAATCCTATTTTCATTTTTGGTGCTGGGGATTGAGCCCAAGGCACTTTACCACTGAGCTACATCCCAGCCTTTCCTTTTTCAGACAGAGTCTCACTAAATTGCCAAGGGTTTTTAAGCAAAACTAAGGCTGGCCTTGAATTTGCGATCCTCCTGTCTCAGCCTCCCGAATCGCTGGGATTAGAGGCGTGTGCCACACCACCCAGCTCTGTTCAGAATTCTGGAGGAGTGAGAGAGGAGCGTCGCCATCGAGTTTGGGGGGAAGGAGATTTGCCATCAAGTTTGGGGTGAAGGTCAGGATCAGGATGACTCTAGGAGGGGTGATATTCAGCCAACGACCGAGACAAGGTGAGGGGCCTGGCGTTCACTCTATTAATTCATGGTCTCTGCCGACCTCTCTCAGGCCGAGGTCTTGCTAACGGTAAACTCTTTCCTTTTGTAGGAAATTACCTCCAGGCTTTGTGCATAAGGTGTACATGAAACCACAGGATTTCGTGTTTAGAGTTGGGTCCCCTCCCCAAGATATTTCATTGTGGACCCACACATATTCCAGAAGCTGAGAAAATCCAAAATCTGAAACACTTGGGTTCTCCAGTGCTTTGCATAAGGGACGGCCCAACTTTGGTTTTTTTTTTTTTTTTTTGAAGCCTCGGGGTAACATGGTTCTAACCCCCCTCTATTACCTGGCCTGTGACCTAACAGTGGGGCTCAGAACCTCCCAGGAGGCGCTCGCAGGGAGATTCTTTGGGGCCTACACCGTCAAAGCTGAAGGGTGGGGGGGTACTTCAGATATTAGAAGTGCCACCGCAAATTGACCAAGGGACAATGGTAGCCGGCAGTTCCAGATTCCTACCCAGCCCACAAGTTCAAAGACCAAATCAGGTAATTTCATTCTCGCCCGAGGCCCTGAACTGGCGGCTAATGAATAATCTGCTCTGCTGGTTTGTGCCACACCCAGTGTGGGTTAGTTTCCGCCATCCTGTCACTAACCCTTGTCCTGCAGTAATGTCAGTCCTGGGTGGGGAAGAGGCGCCTTTGGGAACAGGCAGGAAAACCTGTCCCCTCCTGTCCCTCACACACACCCACCGCCACCAACACACGGTGTCAGAGGAGCACGTGGTTCAAACCAGCCTGATTTCCATCCCCTGCACCTCAGTTCTCCCATCGTCACGTGGGAACAACCACGGAGAGTCGTAAAGTATGGGACAGGCCAGAGCCGTCATGACACAGCCAGGTGTTCAGAAATAAGCTCAATGCCAGGTTGGACCCGGAGATGACGAAATTCTTTTTGGAGCATGGAATCCGCAGTCCCAGGAGCCTAATCCCCTGGCCCCAGGCCAGCTGGGCACGCAGAGGTGGCAGCAGCAGAACAGACACCGCCCCTGCTCTGTGCCCCTCCTGAGAAGGCAGCTGTGGCTGTGATGGGCCCGCCCCAGGCCAGGGGCCGCCACAGCTCTCACTGGGGACAAGTGCCTGCCTGTAGGGAAGCGGGACTCCTGCTCTCTGAATCGCTGAGTCACTGAAGCCTGCAGGCTCCAGGCACCTCCCCACCAGAGCTGAGGGCTGGTGAGGGGGACTTGGAGCACAGGTGCCACACGGAGGATTTCTACATATGCACCCGCAGACAGGGGGAAAGGCAGGCCTTGCTGGAGCCTCCTCGCCCCCCACGTCTGCCATGGTCCCCCCTGGAGGCAGGTCTGGGGGAACCTTGGCAGGAGAGATGAGGGCTGGCCGGGCAGAAGGGCGTTCAGGTTTGCACTGGTCTGCCACCAGCTGGCTTCACCCATCAAGGCCACCAGCTCCCTTTCCAAAGGGACCACTTAGCTTCCTGCTGCTTATCTTCCTTCTCGGTAAAGTGGGGCTGCGAATGGAAGGGTCGTGACAGGTCCCCTTAGGGGCTGGCGTGAGACAGATGCTGTGGGGTCCCAGTCCACTGTGGGAACCTGGGGAGGCACCGGCACTGGGCGGCCGCACCATTTCCTAGCTGGGTGACCTACTTCCCTGCCTCCTGCCTGCATCTGGGAAGCCGGGTGGCACCCAGTTGTGCTCAATCATGGGAAGCACTTGGAAGGGTGCCTGGGACATGATAAGCACTCAGATACTGTGGCTTCTCACTGCAGGGAGGTGGCTGAGCTTCAGGAGAGCTGTGGCCCAGTGTGTGTGTGTGTGTGTGTGTGAGAGAGAGAGAGAGAGAGAGAGACTTTTCCTTGAATATCTTCATCTTGCTAAATCACAGGTAGTTCCCCCAACTTCCCAAGTGTGATGCTGTCACAAGACCTTTGCCTCAGGCTCTTCCATCTGCCTGGGACACCTCCCCCAGCTCTCCCTTGTCCTGCCTCCATGGCCAATGTCACTTCCTCTGGGAAGTCCTCCTGGCCTGCCATTACAAGCCGGTTACAGCACACTTGGTCCCAGTGGCCCAGATCCCCCCCATCGGCCTCACCCCCAGGACTCTTGGCTGCTGGAAAGGCTGGGCTCTGGCCTGCTTCCTGCAAGGCCCCCACCCCCACCCCTCCCCGGGCCCAGCACAGGGCCCAGACGCAGTGATGCTCAGTAAATACGGAGTGAGCAAATGCAGGCTGGACAAGGGCAGAGGAGCTCAAGATGCCCGGATAATGGTACCAAAACCCAAAGTCGTGAATGCTCCAAAATCTGAGACACTTTGAGCACCAACACGATGCCACCATTGGAAAATTCCATGTGACACGTTGGAGTTAAAACACAGGCCCACTAAAGCTATTGTGTGAAATTGCCTTCAGGCTTTGTGTATAAGGTATACATGAAACCACAGGATTTCGTGTTTAGAGTTGGGTCCCCTCCCCAAGATATCTCATTATGGACACGCACATATTCCAGAACCTTGGGTTCTCAAGCACTCTGCATAAGGGACACTCGACTTGAAGTGGTAGTAAACTGCTGCTGTCAAGGATCTGCCATGTGCCACGGGACCTAAATAGGTCACTAATTGAGTCCTCATGACAAGACCTGAGACCAATGCTTTGGTTACCCCATTATACAGACAGGAAGACTGAGACTGCAGAGGTTAAGTCGCCCATCCAGTGGGTAAGAGCTGGAACTGGAGTCAGTTAGTTGAGCTGGATGATGGGGTAGTGAGTTCTCTGGGGCCTCTCTGCCTGTTTGTGTTCACACTTAAAGAAATGGAAGCCTTAACCCCGTGATCAGCAATCAGATCAGTGATGACGGTTCACCATCCCACCCTATCTCACCGGATATGCACCCTCAACCACAGTCAGGGCTTGCCCACGTGGCCTCTTCCTAACAGGTCACTGTCTAGCTAGAACCGAGTGCTGCTGGATGTCCCTCTTAGGTATTCTCAGGGTGGACTCTCCACGCGTCCTATCGCCAGGGCACCGTGCCTCATGCCTTTTGTCCCCTTTATCTCTTGCAGATGTCATGGCACCCCCAGTACCGGAGCTCCAAGTTCCGCCATGTCTTTGGCAAACCAGCCAGCAAGGAGAACTGCTACGACTCGGTGCCCATCACCCGCAGCGTTCACGACAATCACTTCTGTGCTGTGAACCCCCACTTCATTGCAGTTGTCACTGAGTGTGCTGGCGGGGGGGCCTTCCTCGTCATCCCCCTACACCAGGTAAGGCCCCCTGGACACCCCGAAGCCCAGACAGGTCTCCGGAGGCAGTGCCAGCGGAGAGAAAGCAGGAGGAGCCTAGGTTGTAGCCCACAGGAGGGTGCAGTCCTAGCCCTGCCTAGTCCTAGTTGTGTGGCCTTGGGTAAGTCACTCTGCCTCTTTGAGCCTTGTTTCCTTCTTGGGAAAAATATACCTCTCCTAGGATTTCAGCTTCCAACGTCTGACCTAGCTGGCCTGGGACCTCCTCTCCCCACTGCAGAACAGTTCTGCACATTAATCCACCCCTGAGGAGAATAGAACTTTTAGAGCTTTGCTGGACTCATATGGGATTGGGGAAATCTCCAAAGTCATCTTTCCCTGCAAAAATAAAAATGAGAGAACAAATGTCAAGCAGGAATCCAGGCAGGATGAGGAGGTAAGCAGGAAGCAAGAGCGAGATCAGGCCTGCCCTCAGAGCGGGCGTGGATAGTATAGATTGGACCTGCCCATGCTCAGTGTTTCCCACTCCCAAAAGCAATGGTTTCACACGTATCCCTCTAATAGCAGATATTTTCAGGATAGCGATGCTGAGTCTCGGCCTAAAGGCAGAACGGTAGGGCTCCCTGGTTAGAAGTGCTTCTGGTGCACAGCAGAGCAGGTGTGAAGCCAGCGCCTGGGCCCACACCTGTAATCTCAGCAACTCGGGAGGCTGAGGCAGGAGGATTGCAAGTTTGGGGCTTTGGCAATTTAGCGAGACCCTGTCTCAAAAGAAAAAGTAGAAAGAGCTGGGGATGTAGCTCAGTGGTAAAGTGCCTCTGAGTTCAATGTCCAGTTCCAAAAAGAAAAAAAAAAAAAAAGAAAGAAAGAAATAGGTGTGAAGCCTCGCAGGGAGAAGCAGATTAAAGTCAGGGAAATAATAGTTCACCAAGACCACTGTGCAGGTGCGCCACCATGAGTGACAGTCAGCTGAAGTGGGAAATCGCAGTCCTAGACCTCCAAAGGACTTCAGAAGTTAGGGTCATAAGTGCAAATCAGAGTCCCCTAGGCAGGGTGTTTTCATCTCCTTCCTTGTTCTCGGTACTGTCTAGTTTACATATGCAACCCTTTTTTATTTTTGACTCAGGGTCTCATTAAGTTGCTAAGGCTGGCTGCCAACTTTGTGTGTGTGAGTGTGTGTGATTGTGTATGTGGTACTGGGGATGGAACCCAGGACTCGTGCTTGCTAGCCAAGGCTGTACCACTGAGCTGCATCCCCAGCTGATCAGACTTGGGATCCTTCTGCCTCATCCTCCTGGACTAAGGCATCTGCCCGCATGCCAGACAACAGGCGAGGTTTACTGATCACAAGAAATTGAGTTAGAAATCAATTCACACTGAGTGTTAAATTCTCCTTTCGGGCCAGGTGTGGTGGCACACACCTGTAATCCCAGCTACTCCTGAAGCTGAGGCAGGAGGATCACAAGTTCAAGGCCAGTCTTAGTGCAACTACTTCAAGATTTAAAAAGTAAAAAAGGACTGGGGATGTAGCTCAGTGGTAGAGTGCCTCTGGGTTCAACCTCCAACCGAGGAGGGGGGAGTGGAAGATTAGGAGAAAATTCCAACGTAATAAATCCAAAGAAAGAATAAAAGAGAGGATACAAATAACATCAGGAACCCAAAAAGCAAGATAGCAGCAGAGTTCCAATAAGAAGACACTAATATGAGTAATTTTATGCCAATAAATCTGAAAATGTTTACAATATGGGCAAATTCATATATATCTTGTCAATATTAATTCAAGTAGAAATAGAAAGCCTGAACAGTTCTATAAATGTTTAAACAAATTGAGCAACAAAAATTTTCCTTAAAGAAAAATAGCAGAAGGGCTTGGGGATGTGGCTCAGTGACAGAGCACTCGCCTAGCATGTGTGAGGCACTGGGTTTAATCCTCAGCACCACATAAAAATAAACTTAAAAAAGGTGTTGTGTTCATCTACAACTAAAAAATATATTAAAAATAGCAGAAAAGTCAAGTTATGAAGTGGAAAAAGATATTTATACAATAAACAGATAAAGAACACTGTTTTTTGATAACTGGAGATCGAACCCAGGGGTGCTTTACCACTGAGCCATATCCCCAGCCCTTTTTAAATTTTATTTAGGGACAGGGTCTCACTGAGTTGCTTAGGGCCTCACTAAGTTGCTGAGGCTGGCTTGGAGCCTGTGAATCCTCCTCAGCTTTTTGGGCTGCTGGGATTACAGGCATGCACTACTGCACCCAGTCCAACATGTTTCTTGAATACATAAAATGAGCCATGCTACAGTTTGGATCTTAAATGCCCCCAAATCCCATGTGTTAGAGGCTTGGTCTCCAGCTGGCGCTACTGGGAGGTGGAGCCTAGTGGGAGGCAGTTAGGTCATGGGGGATGTGCTCTCGAAGGAGATAGTAGGATCACAACTCCTTCCTCTTCCTTTCCTTGCTTCCCGGCCACTGTGAGGTTAGCATCTGGCCATTCATGCTCTTCCCACCATGCTGAACTGCCTCCTTCCACAGGCCCAAAAGTGTGGACTGAAACCTCCAAAACTCATGATAACTGGATATTGAACCAGTTTTTCTTTTTAAGTTGATTTTCTCAAAGTAATGAAAGCTGCCTAATGGACAGAAATAAAACAACATGAACTGAACAGGCACTTTGTAGTAGAGAAAGTTCAAATAATTAATAAACATTTGAAAAGGTACTCTACCTCATTAGCATACAACAGTGAACTATGACTACATACCAGATTGTCAAAAATGTAAATGTCTGACAATAGTTAAGTGATAGCAAAGATATGGAACGATGGAAACTACCACGCCAGGTGTGGTGTCACATATGCACATGCCTATAATCCCAGCAACTCAGGAGGCTGAGCCAGGAGGATCACAAGTTCCAGGCCAGCCTCAGCCACTTATCTAGGTGCTTAGCAACTTAATGAGAAGACCCTGCCTCAAAATAAAAAGGATGGGACTTAGTTCAGTGGTAATGTGCCCCTGAGTTAAATCCCTGCCTCAAAAAATAACTAAGTTGCTGGGATTGTAGCTCAGTGGTAGAGCGCTCGCCTAGCATGTAGGAGGCATTGGGTTCGATTCTCAGCACCACATATAAATAAATGAATAAAATAAAAGCCCATCAACAAAGAAAATTTAATTAATTAATTGATCAATTGATTGATTGATTAAACAAACTATCAAATACTTCTGCTGGGTGTGTATATTGGCATGCCTGTTTTGAAAAAAATAAATTAAAAAGGAAAATAAACATATTTATGACTCAGAAATCCCACCCTTAAGCATATACCAGGTAGGAATGTGCTCGCGTGCACTAGAAGTATGGGCTAGGGGCATTGTTCGTATTATTGCAAAACTAGAAAAACCAGGATGTTGATGAATTGAATAAATGAATAGTGGTCTGTCCATGCTACTGAATGTACACAACCCTGAAAAGGAGCAAAGTGTAGCCACATAAAGAACAAGGTGCCTCTCCTCTAGACTGAAATAAGCCCAACAAGTTACAAACTGTACCATTCCGTTTACTAAGATTGAAAACAGCCTGTGTTAAACTATTCTGTAAGGGCTGCATAATCAATTAGTAAAATTTTTTTAAAAGCAAGAAGAGAATGTTACAAAAGCTGGGATAATTGCTACCCCGTGAGGGAGGAGAGGTTGTGACTGGAAGCTGTCTTGTAGGGGACCCCCGGTGCCAGTGAGTTCTCATGTCTTGACCCAGAGGGAGGGTTCCTGTTGACCTGTGGGTGGTTTATTCCCGACAGCTCATTAGGACCTCACACTCTAGGCACTTGTATTCTGCGTATTTGTTGGATTTTACACATCCATACATACAAAGCCTGCATGGATTTACAGGCAACTCTTACAAACCTTTCAAGGAAGAGATAACAAGCTTCTAAAAATAGGAAAATGGAATACTCCCTTCCTGATTCTGTGAGGCCAGCACGGCCTTGATACCCCAACCAGACAAGGACAGAACAAGAAGGAAAAATTGTAGAAGGGGCTGGGATGTGGCTCAACAATAGTGTCCGCCTAGCGGGCAGGAGCCCTGGATTCATCCCTAGCACCACAAAAAAAAAAAAGAATGAAAGAAAAGAAAAATACAGACCAATGACACTCAGGAAGATGGATGCAAAATTACCAGAAAAAAAGAGTGAAACTGAATAATTAGGATCCAGTTGGATTTGTAACAGAATAAAGGTGGTTTAATACTAGTCAACCAACAAAGGCCAATGTCATTCATCTTAACTAATGAAAGGAGAGAATCATGCCATCCTCTCCACACATGCAGAAAAAGCCCTTGATAAAGCTCAGTACCCACCCAGGAGAAAAATCTCAGCAAACAAGTAGTGTTAGAACACTTTCTGTCCCTATAACAAACACCTGAGACAGTTACTTTGTCTCACTGTGGTGGAGGCTTCAGTCCATGATCAACTGGCCCCTTTGGGCCTGTGGAGAGGCCGGCATCCTGTGGGGAGGGCTTGGGGGAGTGAAACCATCACCTGATCACCAGGAAGGAGAGATGAAGGCAAGGGTCACAGTGCACAAGCCCCCGCTAGGGCCTGCTCCCAGGGACCTAGAGCCTGTCCTGCCCACTAGAGCCAGGCAGGGTAGCACACGCCTGAAACCTCAGCGCCTCAGGAGGCTGAGGCAGGAGGATCACATGTTCAAGACCAGCCTCAGCAACTAAGTGAGACCCTGTCTCAAAATAAAAAACAGGACCGGGGGTGCAAGAGACGGAGCACCCCTCAAACACACACACACACAGACCTCCCACTAAGCCCCACCTTCTATAGACTCTACCACCTCCCAATAGCACCTCCTCCCTGGTGACCAAGCCTTAATATCTACTTGTGCCTTTGTGGGACATGACAGATCCAAACTGTGGCACCAGGGCTAGAAGGGAATTACACAGCTTGTAGCAGACAGCATTTATTTTTTTTATAATTTGAAAATTTGCAAGTATGGTTGAATGAATTCCAGTTTTATAGAATTCACC